AAACAGAGTCATATTTTATTTTGCTACTTCTTGTTATCTGTATTAGCATGCCTTCACTAAATGCTGAACTACTGAGAGGGGGCAGTGTTCCACCACCTTGCTTTTTGATAACTTATTTCTGCTATACGCAGTTACCTGAACTTTTTGATTTTCTTCTAGATACACAAAATTCGGGAAAAGATGGTGGATGTCCTGAAAAAGGAGTTCGCCAACGATGGCCTCGAATTTAGCATTGGTAAGACACGCTTCCTCCCCCCTCAATTTTCCTTTACAGGTGGACAGATTAGCATAGACATTTTCCCGACGGGTTGGAACAAATGTTTCTGCCTTCGATTTCTGACGGACTACAAGACAATCCACTTTTTTGGAGACAAAGCCATGCCGGTGAGTTTTGAACATCCGTTCTGCAGTTCCGTCTACATTAAATTTAGTTTTTTTGCCATAGTCTCTAGCAGTTGATCGTCGGAAAGTTGTAGGGCGGGGATCGCAATGCGGACAAACCGCAAGGAGTTTACTCGATTCCTCACAACCATTCGCTAATCAGAAAGTTGAATCTAAGCCCTGTGTAGTACCTTATACTTTCGAGTGATGGGATTTATTTCGACAAGGGAAACTGGAATTGCCACTTCTGACTTCTTTTCTGTCAACAGCTGGCCATACCGGGCAGGCCAGGCACTTCGGGCTCCGACTGACTTGGCAGTTGGGACTGCAGGATAACACTGCAGTTAGTTACTGGCCGCTTGATCAAGTACTTATCCAAAAGCAGTCTATCGAACCCGTGATTGGTTGTCCCAGAGGCAGACAGAGAAGTGCAATCACGTGAGGGCTCGCGGGCTTGGCTTCGGTGGTGGTGGACGGCGTTACAGGTGCCTATAACCACTCTTTGTGTTGACCATCTGCGTTTTCTTCTAGCATATTTTGCTTTTTCTGGTTATAGTTGACTGAAGTAACATGTAATTAGCCCGTTACTCTCACGTGTTAATGTACTCTCACCTCTGTCGACATCTCCTTCAGTAAATATACGTATGGACAGAATAGCACTGCCGCCAGGGACAAGGGAGACTAGGATGATCACTTCAGTCTCCCTAGTCTTTGTAGTAATACTATTCTGCCTATAATGCTAGAGCTGTGCGGCTGGCGGCGAGGCCCGAATGCGAGCCTCAAAGCACATGGGACTATTTTGTCTCGCGACTCAATCGGTGAATGCCTCCCGTACTATACGTCTCACTTGGACACCGTCAACGTCGAACTGCTGATTACTTTCCGAACTGCGCATGGTGACATGTTATCACTTTACGGCTAGTACATCTTGATAACTGCGCGTTCTCGAGCGTTTATCGGTCATACCACAGTAGTTGACCAGACAGTCTACGCATTGGACGCGGTAAATGGCGCTTGGCCTATCCGCCTGCGTACCGATAAAGGCAGGAATGAGCATTTTGCGCAACCTGGCCTGTAAGCTACCTTCACTGTCCATCTGAAAGCTCTGCAATATCCGAGAGGTCCTGTAGTGACCCCACTCCGTGCGAACGTTTGCCTCGCATGGCGGCTAGCAAATGCGCATACACCAGTGTCTTTCTACCACGGTCTGGCCAATTACCTTCGAGGCTGACTCACACAGGACCTCATTGTGACAATTGCCACGCTCACACACTTCCTACACAGCCCCTCTCGGGTTTGCGGACGCACGCTCGTCCGATAGTCAAATTCTGCCGACCTTTTCTCCACTACATCTGTACAGAGTACACTACTGGGTAGGAATTCGTCGTGGGGCCGCCTGAGCGCGTGCGAAGCGCGCCCCTCGGTCTTACGGTTGTCTGATTTTCGGGTATATTATGAGAGAAGTATGTCAGGGAACCAATCAATATGCAATAATTCTGTAAATTAAAAAAGTTACGAGA